CTCCCTCTTTCTTACTCTCTGACCTTATGCAATTTTATGGATCTTCCAAGTATTTTATACAACTTTTTGTACTTAAAATACAAAAAAAAGCAGATCACCTTTCTTTTGAGCACTAATTTAGTAATGTGCTGAATAAAGCTCGAGTGGACAAACTGCACGACTACTTTTAGAAAGAAAGCTATATTAGATCAAGCTTTTTCCTTATTCAAATTGCTCCTTACATTCACACGATTAACATGAGAGGGACAAAAAAGGAGGATGCCATCAACTTTAAACAAAGCGCTAAGTTCCTTTCATACTACTAATTGTTCACGCTCGTTTTAGAGTTTTTTTTACGAGATTAAAGTTTTGAATGGTGTGGTTTTAATGCGAAGGAATGTCAAATTAATTTTCCCTCCGTGATAAATGTGAGTAATGAAAGGTAGTGTTTTCCTTATCGTATGTCATCACCAAGAACCACGCTTCTTTATGGGGAAACTGTACTCGTGATACATAAATTATTTTTTAACTGATTGATGAGACGTGAATTGATATAGGCTGAGGAAGAAGGATTTTGAAACTTTTGCTCCTCAGTATGACCGTTCATACAAATACCAATAACAGCAAATTGTTGATAGGAAAGCCAATCACTGTCGTGCCAAGGAAAACCGCAGAATGATCGTTCGAAAGTTGTTATTTCTGCCGATAAACTATTCATTTTTGAGGAGATTTATGGGTATTTTCTCTTGAAATTGTCAAAAAACTTGGATCAGATTGCGGACACAATACTCTGAGAAATATTCGCAGATTCTTTTGAAAATTCATATTTTATCCAAGGAAATTTGGCAACGCCTGAAAGCTCATACGGCATTGTTCCCTAGTACAGCAGAATGTCTCAGCTCAAGAAAAAAGATGCTCCTGGAGTTAACTCATTGGCAGTTGAAAATGAAATGAGCCAGTAGGGCTTACGTTCCCTAAAAAATTCAATTTTTACTAAAAAAGACACAAGTTTAGATTTTTTGGTGATTATCTTCTTGATTCGACGGAAATGAAAATTTAAAAACGTACAAATGTTTGTGGGTAAAAAAAAGTTAGCGAAGAAATATGTCACAATGGCAATGTGTAATGTTTGATTCTATGACCTCTTCAAGTTTCATTTTCACATAAAAAAAGATTTGCAATTATCTGGATTTGGGATTAACACGAAGAAAAATTTTCAATTTTGCCACCTCTGCTGCTTTTCTTTCGATAATTTCAAAAGAAAGGGAGAAAACAAAATATTTTACCCATACCATAAAAAATGTAAATAAAAAGGGCGTGAATGATTTTTTTCTCAATTTGACGACCAGTAACAAACGTGAAAAAAAAAAATCTATCGGCAGCGGACGAGTATGATCCTCTGAAGAAAGCAGTGGCACGGCATGCTTTGCAATACATCGATTTATTCACCATTTATATCTATGTAACAGATCGATAAACATGGTGTTCACAACGAACATCTAAATTATCGATTATTCATCATAGCTTCAAATGAGTAAACATCGATAATCGACTATTTATGTCTCATCACTGGAAGAAAGATGGAAAAACCTTGACGCCGATTAATACCGCAGAGCAAAAAAAGAAAAAAAAAGAAGAGGAATGATAAAAAATGTGATTCCATAAAAAAGAGTGTAGAAAAATTTTCCACTCTTCACAACAGAGATTTTGGATCCACAGACTGTTGCGGGAAAAATTGAAGATTATTCTTACACTTGCTAAAGTTGAATTAAGATTCACAAAAATACGACAATTTTTTTCCACTTAGGAATGCCACATGTTTTTCGCATATTTCAGTTAATTGTACACATAAAGCCCTCTTGAAATCAAATGAATAGATTCCACTAGAATCGGCCTAACTGTATTTAGCGTGCCGCATTTCCTCTCAAGTTTTATTTTTTCAACAAGGAATAAAACTGCCTAACGCACTCAACCTGTTTATGAAATTAGTCTTGATTTTAAAGATTACACTTAAAAAATTTCAAGTTTCATTATCGTTTGGTTTTCTATTAAAAAATGGGAAATGGGAAACATTAAACAATGGGAAAAATTACGCGACGATGCAATTATAAGCAGAATACGGTTCAATCCGTCCAAATATTAGCGCCGAAATGCTGACTATCTATAGATTACTAAGTAAACTTCATATTATAAAGTACAATTAAACGTATGATAAAAGAAACTAAGCTATCTTATCATTAAGGTCCATGATATGTAATATCTCTGGCCAAAGAAATAAATTTGCTTGTAAAATATACCCATTGCAAGGAGGGGAGAGGGAAGGGGGCAGGGGCAAGTCAGCCCCCCCCCCACCACCCATAAGAGCACACCCTCCAACACGGGCACCTGGCCCTACGGCTCTGTGTTCTTAATCTAAAGTAAATTCACAAAATGTTAAAAGGCGTTAAGGATCTTAGTTTTCTACTAGAAAAAATAAAAATGAGAGAAACTTAGGCGACGTGAAATGCAGTTAGGCTGCGATTCCACTTAAATCCTTCCGATTATTTTACATATGTCTTTTTCTAAAATAACCAATAAAAATGTTTCCCACTATCCAATTTTGAGTTTGCAACACTGAGGTCCTTCATCCTCTAAAAATTCAATTTCTAAAGCTGAGGAGATCGTTCCTCCCATTCGTGTTGGTGTCGCAGCGAGAGAGAATCCAGCACCCACAACTGAGCGCTCTCAATTTTTTTTCTCAGCATCTTGCCGTTAATTCGATGACTGGTTCTACGAGGCCTATCATGGCTCAACGGTGGCGTGGCTGGGGCTTGAATGGGGGTGGATTCACATTAAGGGACAGTGAGGACCCTTGAGCTAGCTCGGGCGCTTCCCCGATTAACAATTGCGGGATTGAAGCGATCCAGTGTTCAGGGACAGATAAGGTCCGCCTCAATTTCGGTCAACTCCACTTGCGGGGGAAGCAGACTCCGCAAAGCCCGGATTCCAACTTGAGGAATACTCAAAACTTTAAAGTGTGCGTTTTAGGGTAGCGAGCACCCCTTCGCTAGGACACTACTTGTCGTTGTCAAGTTTCCTTGGTAAAACCACCAAATTACAATTTCTCGTGTACGGTAAAGCATATCGACGGCGTAAGTCCGCAATCACATATCTCGTTTGCGGTGTCTGAGAATCTCCGCCTCTGTGTTATTTTTTTAAAGGAGAACAAATTGACACCATTCCTTGAAGTTTTTGCAGAATTGTTTTCGCACAGAGAAGGAAAATCACGACAATTTTAAAGAATTGCCGTCGAGTTGTTTTCCGTTTAAAAAATAAAGTATGTCAGGAAGTCTTTGCGACGTCGCAAGCCGAGTTACGTGATTGCCGACTTACACCGTCGATATGGGGGTTGCTCCGACTGACTCTCGCTGATAACTTTCCTCAAATCTCAGAAATCGGAGACACATCAGCGCACTTTAATGAACCAGCGTAAAGCTACAACCATTCGTGCTTGATCGTTGTGCGTATTGTATCTACAAAATTGAAGGCGCGGGACGTGATCTCGCAATACTGATAAATTAAAATAGCCCTAACTCCGTTTCGCGTCGGCATTTTGGGTGTCATTTTGTGACGAAATGCATGTACATAAATTGGACGTATTTCTATACCAAAGGGAACTATGTGCATAATGACGTGAGCCCTCTTATGCATATATTCTCATGGGTCTCAGGGCTCATGTCTCAATGCACATAGTTCCGTTTGGCAGAAATACGTCCAATTCATCGTCCTCTGAGATCAAAAACCTGTGGTTTTGAGTTTTAGTGCCCGGAAAATCCTTTTTTTTTTTTTCAAAATAATAAGCACAATGGCACAATCAGACGCATGCATGCTAGATGAAACGTTGCGCAAATTCATGAAATTGAAGGGAATTGTGTAGTTAGGATTGAAGTGTTTCAGAACTATCTTTAATTAGGTTGATTATTTGCACAAAGTTTAGTGTACCATAAGAAAGTCCAATTATCTTCCAATGCGGCAATCTTTAATTCACTCCAGGAAGGTCGAGGGCTTCACGCGTCAAAAACGTGCTCGATTGTGAGTGGGATTTGAGATGCAGCGTTGTCAAATTGTTAATTTGTCAACAGCAAGGCTTGTTAAATACAGGAATTTTGAAGGAGAATCGACTAGGATGGGGGAGGAGGTGTGACATCGGGGCACGTATCTCAATTTTGTTCGGCTCCTTTAAGAGAATATGCAAATTTTGGGGGCGATACCGCGGAGGGAGCTTTTCAATGAAAATTGCACCTTGCGATGCACCCACAATGCAGTGCGTCTGACGCACGACCTAGCTTTAATCTCATCAAACGGAGATTTGGTGATTCACCGCTTCGGCATCGCGCACCGTGTGTGAAAGAAGCTTACACAAGTCAACAAAAAAAAGGTTTATGTAACGCTGAAGACATCTGATTTATGCTTATGTACTTTTTAGCGCTAGCGGTCGAAAAACATATCTGATGTTTCATCCCTACAAACAACTATTTGCTGGAAAATCAAGATTTGCCTTGAAACGGGGAAAAATCCATTTCCTGAATTAATTAAGCAAGATAGAGATAAGAGAACATCGGAAAAAAGTCGCTTGGATCTAAATTCCAGATTCTTAAAATATTGACGAGAAAAAATACTCTTGATTCAATCGGATTTTTGCTGAAATCGAAAACCCAGCCTCTTGATTGAAGCGGATTTCCTTTTGATTCATGGAAAAATCCGATTGAATCAAGAGTATTTTTTTCTTGTCATAGTTTTCATGAGTCTGGACTTTAGATTCAAGCGACTTTTTCCCAGTGAAAGCAAGGTCATTTTCAGATTTAGTAGCCTGAAAGTACATAGGAAATCATAAATCGAAGGATGCCTCGTGTATCTTTCTTTGTGGTTGCATACCGTCATCTCCTTGTGTGAGTACATTCATTCCTCGATCGATTCATTGGTTCATTATTTGCCGCTTGTTTGATTATTTTACCGATGTATTAATTTATGGGAAATTTTAGAAAATCACACTATGGGAGCTGCCGAACGAGGAAGACATTATAGCGATGCGGAAAGATCTGGGAATGTCCGAGGCCTCTCTTAGACAAGACGTTCAAATACTCAAACACTGGCTGCGACAGCAACCTCACCTACCAGTTGACATCGGTAAAATCTGCTTGAAATTTGCCTAGCTTATAATTCGAAGGCACTGTGCGGTCCGTGCATCTCTTCAATGGGCCTGTTGCAAACTTTTGCTAGAGCAAAACTAAGAGTTGTTTCTTATAGATAATGCCTCAAAAATCACGATGAGCGCATCGGCAAACTCTGAAATGCACTCATAACTTCACAAACTGCGTAAGAAATTTGCGGTTTTTTGAGCTTCCCGCTTCAAAAACGATACTACGGTACAGGTGAACATTTTGTAAGAGGAGTCGTTCCATCGTCGGCAATAATCATCATAGCCGACGCCAATCCGCCAAAACACGTTTGATGGGACGAGATAACACCTGAACTGGATTAGACCAGATAACAATCGATGTGTTAACGTTCATATTTTCCACGCCCGAATTGATTGACCTTGAACTCTCCTTGAATTACGCGCGGAACTGCGTGCAAGCGTCGGCCATGATGAATATCGCCGACGATGGAGCGACTCCTCTAACAAAATGTTCACCTATGCCGTAGTATCGTTTTTGAAGCGGGAAGCTTAAAAAAACGCAAATTTCTTACGCAGATTGTGAAGTTATGAGTGCATTTCAGAGTTTGCCGATGCGCTCATCGTGATTTTTGAGGCATTATCTATAAGAAACAACTCTTAGTTTTGCTCTAGCAAAAGTTTGCAACAGGCCCATTGGACGTATTTCTGTCAAACGGAACTATGTGCATCATGACGTAGCCCTGTTATGCATGTATTCTTATGGGTCTCATATCTCATGTCTTAATGCACATAGTTCCGTTTGATATAAATCCGTCCAATTTATCACAATGTCTGTGCATACTCCATGCGATACCTGCCTCGCCGGTCAATAGGAACACCTTTTTCAATCAGCAACTAACTTCACGCTCATTTTGGAAACAATGTATGCGTCATTTGCTCCTTCATGCAGTTAGGTTCTTTTGTGGATGAGCCAGAAACTGTGATTTCCTATTGAAAAATGCAGTCCAATTGATGGTTGGATTCATTGGACTACATTTTTTAATTACGAACTACAATTTCTGACTCATTCGTTAAAACACGTATATGCACATGGAAGCTGGTGGGTACATACGTTGTTACTGAACAGAGCCGGGAATTGTAGTTCCTAATTGTAAAATGTAGTCCAATTGGGTAGCTTTGACCGGAGCCAGCCTAACTGCATCAGACTTTGTCTAATTTTCTCTTACCCAGTATTTTTTTTCACAGAAAACTGAGCATCGCTGAAACTAGGCGATTTTGAGGAATTTTCTTAATACAGTGGAATCGTTCTCAGAAAATTTCAGAGGGCTCTACGTTGTTTAGGCTTCTGTTTAAAAAAATAAAACATGAGAAAAAATTAGGCGACATGAAATGTAGTTAGGCTTAATCCCGCTTAAATCCGTATAATTGCTGGTTACTCCTCTCGACGAATTAACTCATCGATTGAGCGAATGACTGATCGATCGAATCAATTGCTTGAATGGATTTTACACGTAGTCTCTTAAAAAATACGGTTTCATGACACACCCTTCATAGAAAATTTCAAGATTTTTGTAGGCCACGCTACGTTGGTGAGTTGTATAACTCCATAAAAAACACTATCTCTTAGTTGGGATGTGCTTACTTGAAATGTCATCGTAAGACAAATTTAGAAGAGTACAGATCCGAGTTTTTAGTCACATTATTAACGCATGAAAGAGAAAGTTTGAGGCTTAGCGAGCCGATTTTTAAAGTATCCTGATTAACTAGCGAGCTATTTCAAAAAAAAAGGACTCATCTGAAATTGAAGAGAAGGACGTGTATACCCTCCCCCTCCACCAATGATATCAAAGCTGAGCCTTGATAGGATTTAAAGTAATATTTCTTTCCTTTTATATTTCCTTTTATCTGTATGTAGATGTTCTTCACTCTTGAACTGTACCTGCATTTGGATTGAAAGTAGATTCTGTTCTTGAGCGATTAAATTAAATTTTACAGTTGATCGTTTAGGAGTTTATTTTGGGCAATGTTCAGAAATTTGTGGGGTTACCCAACTCTAATACACATTCGTAAAGCTATCCATCTGCGTTGAACATACGACAAGTAGATTCTAAGAAAAAATATCGGTTCGGAGTTTTTCATAAATAAATATATGGACAGTAGGTATAAATCACACTTAATAGTAATTCTCTAATATTTCTGATTTAATTATCTCTTTTTTCAGACGGAACCAGATTGGAGCGTCTTTTATTCTACTGTAAAAATAGTTTGGAAAGATCGAAGCAAAAATTGGAGCAGTACTTTTCCTTAAAATCCGCGGCCCCGGAAGTCTTTCTCAACCGAGATGCCACCGATCCACTTCTCTACGAGCAAAATAAAATTGTGTAAGTTACATTCTTTCGCAAAAAAGAGACACCGATATGAGGAAAGAAAACATACTATAAATATTGTTTCAGATCAGTAGAGTTTCCTGCATATTCGCAAGGGACGTGATGGTTTTCGAAATAAATTTGGAGACGGAATTATACGATCTGTCATATTAAGCCATGAAAAAACGCATAAACATCACTAGAAAAATACATTATACATTACAATTGTCATGAGATTGCGAGAAATCTGCAAAATATCAATCTCACCCTGAATAAAATATCCCGAGAAATACAGTGGTGCCAATTTTCATCTGAATTCGATCGGCCCAATCAAACCTCATCGAGTGATGCAAAATAGTGTGTGTGTGTTTTTCAAATTGATGACTATGCGCACTCGGCGGTATGTGTGTATGTTGCCTGTGCGGCAAAATTGGAGGCGAACCTAAAATTAACTTTGTCCGTCGATAGGTTCACGCTTGGTCTATTGGTTCAGAAAGATACATCGAAATTTATTTTTATTAACCGGAAGGATTATACAGATCGAGATCCTAGGTATTTCTTTGCCTATGCGGCAAAATTGAAGGCGAGATTCAAGAGGACGGGATCTAATAAAATAATTCCACATCGTTCTTTGGTTCAATCGAAGCATGCGACGGGATAACCATATTTGAGGAGCTTTCCGGAAAAAGGGAAGATACCGAAAAAACGCGTTGTGAGAAAAACGCATTTGAAGTTTTCATTCTTACTTTCTGAGCACTGATGTTGACATACATCGGAACTGGGGCGCTCATATCATCGTTCATACACCCTAGAATGAATAACGACCATTGGTAAAACTTACACTTCTTTCAGTGTTGTGGGGGGAATTTTTAAACATTTTCCGTTATGTGCCCTTTTCCTGGAAATGGACCGGTGCGCATAGATTTTGGCTTTTATTGTTGAGATTTTAAAGAGTTCCTAAACGAAGATAAATAAGTCCAATTAATTAATCAATAATAACTTCGATTGCGGGCCGATCATCTTCGATCATTATTAATGAAAAAGACAGCGAAACACGCGAAAAACTCGAAAATATTAAAACTCACAAGAAACCAATAAAAATTGAATCATTATAATTACAAAAATTCACGTGTGACCGCGGTGCAACGCGTTGACAATCACTGCAATTCGATGATATTGGATTGATTAGCAGAATCAGCGCGATGCACCTGTAGTGAGGGATACCTAATCAGTACCCATCTGTACTGATTACCGCAACGTACCCGCGTACCCAACGTACTCCGTGTAGGATTACGCGGCAACCGTACCCGGAGGCAAATAGATGAAATAAGCCTGTGACCGTGACCCCTGACCCCTGACTTAGCATCACAAAGCTTGGTCTCTTAGCTCTAAAAATTGATTAATTAAGCTGAAACTTGAAACATTGGTACATTAGGATGCAAGGAATCCATTTCTGTCATTTCCGGAAAAAGGGCACATACGCGTATGTGCCCCTTTTCCGGGATGCGCCTCATTTTCTTATTGCTGAATGTGGCTTGGATGTGGAAGTCATCGGCCCGATGCCTGAATTTTGCGCTTGTCGCGCAATGGATAATGTCGGATTTGTCTGAACCATTCGAACAGATGTGATACACATCTGAATGAAAATAACTCGAATTTGCAAATTGCAACTGTTAAGCGATGACTGTTGACTTCCATATTCAGCTGCCAAATTCAGCGTGTGATTCCGGCATTAGAACGGGAGTTTGGCGCTTTGTTGCGGGGATGGAATAATGGCGGTTTGATTTGTTGCAGGTTCAACAACCCGCTACCCCGCCTCACGGAGGACAACAACAGGGTGTGCCTCTTGAAGGTGGTCGACCCGTCGCGGCTCAAGGAGCTGGACGTGGAGGCCTGGATGAAGCGGACGTTCATGTGCTACGATCTCCGCATGACCTACGAACACTCCGCCAATGACCTCTACCTCGACGATCTCGAGAACTGCGACGCTTCCTTCCTCAAATACGTCACCCCCACACTACTCTCGAAAATTGTCTCCTATGGAAACGTAAGTCGCCCTAATTGGAACTCATCAACCAGAATAGGCCAGTTGCGCTCGTCACAGAATTGTGTTTTTATGCTTGATTTTTATAGATTAGTTAAAATTAAGATCTGTCCAAACCGCGACTTTCTACGTTCAATATTAATCGAGATATCGCCCTTTGAAAAGTTGGATTTTCGACGTCATCCACCGCGGTAGTGACACCCTTGGTTTCTTGCTTGGTTCCTTGCTTTCATCCGCATTTCACGTAGAGTAACCGGTGCTAATGTGTGTCTCCCTGACTGATCAAACCAAGGTGGAAGAAACCAAGGGTGTCACTACCGCGGTGGATGACGTCAAAAACCCGACTTTTCAAAGGTTAATATTGAACGTAGAAAGTTGCTGCAAGGACGAATCTCATTATTTCTAGCTGATCTACAAAAATCAAGCATCAATACACGATTCTGCGACCATCGCAACCGACCCACTGGAACTCCTCAACCAGCATTGAGGGGCTTGGAGGACAAGATGCAGAAGTGAAAATTTACATATTAAAGATTTCAAGTAAAGCTAGTCGTAAGGCATAGTCTCAGAAAAATTCCCTCCCAAATTCCAATTTTTAAGTATCAAAAAGTCAGTTCGAACTTTCTTCCCGCCATTAGGATCCAATAATTTTGAAGCTTCAAACACGTATTTCTCGAAATAGCAAAATTTTCACTTGTGCGCCTTGTCCTCCAAGCCCCTCAATTGAACTTTACATTCCAATGTGGAACTAATTTTCATAGCTCATCCATAGAAGCACCTACTTGTACGAGGAAAATAATGGCACTTGTGTCGTTTCTAAAGTAAGCTAAAAATAGCGACTCCTCATTGCAACATCTAGTCGATTATCCTAACTGCATTTCACGTTGCACTGAACTGCGTTTCGCAAAAAGGAACTGCACCGATAGAAAAACTGGCATACGAAGGAGTTCGATTACTGAGGAATCGAAGAAGAAGAAACCGACCTTTACGGTTGATTCGGGGAATGCCTGGACTTTCCATTGATTTCTGCGCACTTAATTCAAAGTTGTAAGAGTGCCTGACTTAGCACAAAACTTAAGTTGGTTTCCGTTCCACTTCTTTTATGATATATAATTATGTATTGAAAGTAACACAAGAGCAAAAATCACTTTCTTGGTGTACTACATCTAGTTCATTATATAAACATCAAATGTTCAATTCGTTTTTTTCAGGGAGATAGGTGTTTTCATATACATCTATAAATAGTGGTTCCGTAATACAAAAAGAAGTCACATTTTTCCTCAAGTTCAGTTTTCTAACCGAAGACTACAGAAATTTGAAACTTTCTTTGAATTTCTACTGGATTAGTAAATGAACTCCACCATTAGTTCATCTAGAATGCGTTGCAACCGGATTTTCAAATTTAAAACGTAACAGTCACCTTTATCTGGTCTGTATCTTTAAATCGGACGAATTATTCTGTCAAACGGAACGATGTGCATTATGACGTGAGCCCTGTTATGCATACATTCTTATGGGTCTCAGGAATCATGTCTTAATGCATATAGTTCCGTTAGGCGGGAATACGTCTAATTACGCTCCTCGATTTATTTCGAGACGAGGTATCCTTGTTTAAAAAAAATATAATAGGGTAATTTTGAAACGTTATATGCAAAGAAGACCATAAACCCGAGTTTTACCTCCGTACTTTTCCAGGATGTTCAACAGTTTCCTCAATCACTCCGTCTTTCTCTCCTTTCCTTCCATAACGGATGTAGTCATGAATCATACCAAATTGATGTAACATTCACACTTATTAACGGATATACATTTCTGTTTAATTTTTAATGTTTTTTTTTTTTCATTCAATCTTATAGATGGCTTACCCGTATAGAATCAAACAAGTTGTCATCTATAAGCCACCAAAAGTACTCGAAGCGTTCATAAACATCTGTAAAACTCTGGTCAACAAAAAATTAGCATCGAGGGTAAGTTATAAATATTTTTACTTGTGCACCTTGAAAGGACCGTTTCTCGGTATCTACACTCTTTCTCAAATACCTAGAGAGGAAAATGTGGCACGATTATGTCTCCAAATGGAGAAACATAGGAAGGGATTATTTGAATATGCAGGTGAGAGAGTCTTGGTAATAAGATATTCTGTTTTTAAAAGCTGCAATTTTCAACTATAACTAAGCGGTGAACCAGTTTTTATTACCTTGAATTTAAGTGAAACTTTAGAACTCCAAGATTCAATTACGAAAAAGTAAATATAATTATAATGATACATGTTTCATTTCACTTTATTTCGCATTCGTAGTTTTCCTGCGTTATGCTTCTAACTTTAATTTGCGTTCATTTTCAATTTTTTATAATCTGCTCTACATTTTTATTTTATTTTTAAGTTAAAAATCTCACACGTATGCTTACTTGTTAAGAAATTTATAAGATAAAATACACCGATGTACGACAGCTCCGCAAACTAAGATAAGTTTTCCACGCTCTAAACATCAAACAAAGACCGTTCGGAAGGTAAATATAACATACCACCTACAAATCCCGCCTATCAATACCGGTCCAGTGAAAAACCGCGTACAAACACAGTGCTTCTAAATGACTTGGACGGTTTTTTACGACAAGGAAGGGCTCGTTTCCTTCTTATTTCGTTCATAAATTACGGCGCAAACGACTTTCGGTCGGTATTCGTATAATTCAAAGCGTCATATTTCCCAGTCGTTCTCACTTTCGCTGCGGCTTGACCGACTGAGGAAGGGCGAGACAAAAAGTAAAAAATATAAAATAAACTTGTGAAATTGTGACATGCGGAAGAAATGAAACGTATGAAAAAGAAGTTCTAGTCGTCGGATCGGGAAAAGTTCTGAGGAAAATAGACTCTCCTCCGAGACGGGGCGGTTTGATTGAGTGAGTGTGGCTGAGCGCTGAGCGTTGTCAGCTTGCGTTGTTTTTAGGAGGCGCAGCCAATAAATTGACCAAAAAAATTATAAAAGTTAAAAAAAAAACACTTACCGCGATTGCAATGTTTTCAAATCTTTGCAGTCATCTTATTTCTGTAAAAAAACAAAAAAAAATTATGGTTATTAGGTATTTGAAATTTTCATAAAATATTCTGTATTGAATTTTTCAAAACAAATTCATTCGAAACTCCAAGAGATAATCTGTATTCATTTTCCTTTGAAAGATGAGTTTGGTATTAAAGGAAATATTCCGTATCGAAAACCATGATTTGATAGCCAAATTGCGAAACCGCGTATCTATATTGCGGTGTTTCAAGATTTCTTCTCCTATTGTATTTATCCGAAAAGAGGCAAAACCACTTTATACAACTTAAATATACAAAATGTTCTAATTTCATTATTCTTCTCTGCTAGCAGATTTATTTACATTATTTCATTATATTTACGTTGAAAGCACTTTCAAAATAATTCCGTCTGCTGAAATCCAAAGAATAAATATAAGGTATGATAGGATTTCTGCAACGGCGCAAGTTGAGATACGTGACCTCGCACTTTGGACATCGATGTATGTTTTTTAACTGTCTGTGCCGAATGCATTTTAGCATTAGAAGGATGTGTTGACACATTTTTTTAAACATGAGTTTGAAATTTTACCAATTAATTAACGAGAGGAGTGGTTTTCAAATAAATCTCTCTGCGAGAGGATTAGCTTCTGAAATTGTCATGATGGTATAGGCAAAAGTTAAACAGCGAAATATCGAAAAGAACGGCAACAAAGCGTTAATAACACTCGTGATATTCGGCCTGAAAAAGGACGATTTGTACTCAGTGAAGGTACTTCTCGTCGCTTTGCTGACACAACAAAAACAGAACTGGTTGTTTACATGAGCCTTGGAAGGCATTGATTTATAGAAAGGAAGGGCTCTTATTAAAGAATATAGTCAACTGAACGACTTGGCACCTCATCGTGTAGAATGAATGGACTACACTTTGGAATAAGGAGCCACCATTCCTAGCTCATTTTTGAAACACCATAGATGTCATCATAATCCCTATGCAGATAGGTGTTATCATGAACGAGGCAGAAAAATTGGTTCCTTACTAGAATGAAGTTAAAGGTTTCTGATTTTCCAAACGAAGAAGTTGTATAGCAAGCAATTCGGAGAGGTCGGGCGTAAAATTTTTGACTAAAACTGAAAATTGATATGTTTTACTTCATCACATTATAAATTTTAAGGCGCGTGTCTTGAAAAACATTTTATAATGAAACCATTCATCGAACCAACCAACCAACCATCTTTTCGTATAAATTAAAGAGTAAGCTTCCATAGTTTCAACAACTTATCCGACCTCTCTCACTGACTCACTTCACTGTGAGACATAGATATAGAGTGACCTTTAAAAATCCGTTAACCATATTGACAGTTGTGTGCAATTTTACAATAGAAAAACATTTTGCAATTACGAATTAGAATTTCTAGCTTATCCAAAGCACACATTATGTTCCTATAATGAGCCAGATACTGTAGTTCCGAATAGCAAAATGTCCAATGCTTGTCAGTTACTTCGAGGAGTACGACGTTTAATATTACTTCTCTCGTGAAGGGTGAATAAAACAGTAAAAAGGCCAGTCGAAAATAACGGAAAATTAAAGTTAAAAAAGCGACAACCGTGCTTTTAATTTTATTTTTGATCGGAAAACTTTTCCGCTTTACAATCGTCGTGAGAAGGAGGCAGTTAAAACTTTTCACGGATCCGTCGATTTCAGCCCCATATGCTGATATGGACACTCCGTAAATAAAATGGACTCGAAATCTTGTCCCAACACCAATTTAACCTTGGGTCTTTGTTTTGAGAGCCTACGCCCGAATCTCATCCCCTCCTCGATGAGTGTAAACTACAAATATACTCGTACAACGACAGTCTGACTTTTCAACCTGTCGCAAATGAAACAAAGCTATTTTCCGAAGGAAAATACTTGTTTAAGCAGAATTATTCCCCAATTTTCTATTGAGAATACATCCTCTTGAATTAAAATTTAACAAAGAGATTTCACTAACATATTAGAAAGAAATTTGGGCTAAAATAAAAAAAAATTCCAGCGATTCTATCTAGGCTAGAAATATTGACCGTCTGCCTAGGCATATGACAAAATGCCCGCGGGCTGATTATTAAAATTGATAGCCTGAGACAACACAAGGAAAATGGAATGATCCTATTGGTAGAAATGGGTGTTTGTACTGCGGTCAAACAGAAATATGACGGACGAACGTATCGCCCCAGTCCGTTGGAGGATTTACACGTGTAAAGATACGGGCAAATTCTAAGGCCGAGTGAAAACGGTAAGAACAATGTTAAAATGTTTGGAGTCTACATTCCTCAGTATTATAAAACTCCTTGGGGGTTTCTCGCATTAATTTAAACACAGATTTAGAGGCGGAAGGGGGTTTGAGCTTGCATAATGGGACAAGCCTCATGCTAGCGCCTTGATGCAACTATTCGTGCTCAACGGACGTCTAAATTGCATATCCAACAAGTTGAAGGCGAGCTACGGACTTAGGGCAAAGATGCGCATTCATACAACGCTCCACAGAGTTTTCTACGAACTGACTATTGATATTGATGGATAGAATGATTGACAAAGAGGACATGGATCATCATATTGGTTGAAATACTTGAAACAGGGCAGAATATCTTTTCCGCACGAAGTACATTTGTGGTAATTTTTCCGATTACCGTTATCGCACAAAATCATTGTCGCCCACATCAGATCTCGAACATCTGGCATCATCAATAATTTTTTCAATCTTTGTTCACTCATTTTTCTTAAATATGCCTCATATTTTTCTCAACGTTGCCACATACTACGGAAAATTATTTGCGCGAAAATGATATTTTGCGGCAACAATAATCGGAAAAATTACCACAAATGTACTTCGTGTGGAAAAGTTAGTCAGCCTGAAACAGATACTTCTTAATGGACCACTAGATATGGAACGAATTTCAGCATTCTGATACATGCTTCTTAACCAAAATTTCACGTAAAACACGATGCACACAACGAAAATTACAGAAATCAACTCCTTACGCAGATATTTAATGATTCTCTATGCGTGAATTCAAACCGCCCGATCATGAAAACTAATTGCTCTACGTGATTCACATCGCGCGCTAAACACTTCATGACAGTCTCTACGATATACAAATCTGGCAACCTAAATCTTGACGCTTTGGCTCAGCTATAGCAAATTGCTTATAGTTTGAAAAACACATGGTGGGACATGAACTTTGCTCGACTGAGAAGCTTACTGAAACCGTTGTAGTGCGCGATTTGATTCACGCAGAGCTTTGAGTTTCTTGTGAGCGGGCAGTTCAAATTCCTCGTAACCAATGTGAAATAAAAACGCTAATATCTTCGTTAAGAGTTGGTTTAATTGATTTCCGTTGTGCGAATCGTGCTCTACGTGAAATTCTAACCAGGAAACATGCATCAGAATGCTTAAATTCGTACCTTGTCTAGTGGTTCATTATGGACTAAGGGAGAAAATTATGGACCACCTATAGGGTCTCTCGTGGGTTAGTGTTAGTTAGTCTTACTTTCTTTGTCTATAGCAATCGCCCACTTTCACCAATAGGATAGCTCTATTTTTTCTTTGTCTTCCTTATTTATTACTTCGTAAATCTATTTCAAAAATCAGTCCGCTGATTTCAGATTCGTCTGCTGTACGGATATGCATAAAATATCCTTCCGTGGCCGTCATTACCTTGAAATAGTCCGATCCGTCGAGTTTTCACTAAAACAAGCATACTTGTTGCTTTTTTGTTGCAGGTGGTCACCGTTTCGAACAATGAGGAGCTACACAAGTACATCTCAAAATCCTGCCTTCCCAAAGAGTACGGAGGAGACGAAGAGAGGTCATTAGATGAGATTCGAGGTACGTATTTGGGTTTTGTGGCGTTGAACATTGGTGATTCTGCGTGGGCCCCACGTGGGTCAAGTGCGGTCATCCGCGGAAACGGGAAGAAGATTAAACAGCGATAAGTTACTCCGCTTAAGTAGAAAATTTCACTCATTGCCAGAAGACTAACCGAAATGTAAAACAAGGACGGAATGAGTCTATACAATACTAGAGGCCTCAACCACTGAGAAAAGCTACACGTAAAGAATAGGAGAACAACCACGTTAAGTTATTTAAGAGATGAATGAATTCAAAAGCCGACGGGTGCATGCAAAAGAAAACATAATCGTCTCTGATTGCAACGTTGTGTACCAATTTTTATGTTTTATTTTTTTACACAGTTTTTCCACGCATTTTCCTAAATCATCTCAAATGTAAGCATCAAAAATTTCGACGCGATATTTTCGTTCATTCTATTTTCTTTTCATGTAACAAAACTAACAAATTAAATATCCTCCGAGTTTCTGAATCGTTCCAATGAGGACACATATTTTCTATTTACTTATGGTAAAAACCGGAGCAGAGGGGCAAGAATTATGACACGTATTCCTAGTTTAACGGTGACTTTAGAACCAGGGAAGGAAACGCGGTGAAGCCATCTTTGCAGTGTGCCGCGCCTTCTATTCGACTAGCGGCAATATTTTACACCCATGGTCGAATAGTTATCTCGTTACGCCTGCCGTAAACGGGATCAAAAATCGACGACTGCACGCGGAAAGAAAGTGCTCTTATCTCCAATCGCAACGTTGCAAATATCTACTCATTTTATTATTTTTAAAAATTTCTTTTAAAAAAAAAAAAATTGTAGAAGTTTCCGAGAAATTCCCGGAATGATTTGAAATAAAATCACCAAGAATTTTGACGCGATATTTCTGTTCAGTCTGTTTTCTTTTTATTAAACCAAAATTACTTTTACGCGAATCAAGTTTCAGAATCGCTGCATCGTTTAAACATCGTCCGAGTTGCTAAATCGTTGCAATTAAGCTCAAGCTTTCGTTGCGTCGAGCTCACTCCAGTGTCGAGTCATCTTCACAATGTGATGCGCCTTCAATCCAGTTAGCGGCAATGTGCCTACACCCGTGGTCTAATAGTTATCACAAATTGCATTTGGTGCGATGCGAGAAGTATTCATGCAGTCTTGTAGGCGCTAATATGCTCTGACGCCGACCGCACTGTTTGGCGCAATGCGTAAAGAATTCCTACAGTCTTGCAGGCGCTGATATGAGTTTGACAACGGCCGCACCGTGTTCGGCGCGATTATTCGAACTCGCATTAAATAATCGACGGTTACTAGACAGAGAGAAATTTAAAGCACCCCGTTACATGGTGCTTTTTCAAAAATTATAGAGAGAAATCACAAATCAAGAATTTTGGACTTCAACTCGAGAAAAGTATACAAATATTAAAATCTGTTGGTTGAATATGGCGCGCGCAATACAAACGACATCATTCGTCAGTGTTAATAGGTTTAAGGTGATTCGACGGACGCCATAATTTGTGTCAGAGCGACGTGCGATACATCGCATCGATTCATTCCATAATTCCAGTTACTTATATTTTTTTTTTTTTTCGAATTTTGAGATCGCACTTCTGTTGTCATAAGACTAAGAACTCGGGTATCTTTGACAAAGAAATTCAACATAATAAAGGCGTGGTATTTTCAGAGAAAAAATATTGCAATCGAGTGCAATTTCGATATCAGTGTCGACTTTTTCCTCTAAAAAAACCTTGCCTTTATTGCGTTCGATATCTTTGTCAAATTTGTTACATGAATTCTTTAGTCTCATGGCACCAGAGGTGAGATCTCAAAATTCGAAAAAAAATGACAAGTAGCTGAAATAATGGAACGAATTGATGCGATGTATCGCTCTGACACAAAAAATGGCAACCGTCGAATCACCTTAAGAGTTGATGATCGAATTTTCCGTTGTCTAAATTAGTCTACACGTACGATTTTGAGAAGGAAACACAAAACGGGGTGCTTTAAATCATACCGAGTCAGGTAGCTCGGGGTACGCCGCATTTACAACACGACTCAAACCGGTATTTTGAAAACCAACGAAGGCCGGAAACTACAATTATCATTTATTTTAGGGTACATATAAAATTGAAACGACTTCAATTAACACGCGACAAAACAGCGTAACTAGTTGCTCGGGTGAGCAGCCCGCCGACTCGAATCCTGGCCCCATGACAAAAAAACCAAACTGCATTTCTGAATGAGCCGCATCGTCCGTATAAATCCGTGTTTCAAGGAGCTCACGTGGAATTGGAGATATGCCCTTGCGTTGGAGGATCGACGGGCGGGGGTGAGGTCTGACGGAGTGAAGCTCGGGAAAGGCCCCCGACTCAGTGGCCAATAAAAAACCGATAAAGTATTTTAATGACTGTCACCTCACTCCTGAAACAAGGAAGTGGGGCAGTGCAGCAATCTCGGTCCAAGCACGGATGACCGGCGTTGCCCATTCGAATACTGAATGACTGCCGACTGCTGCCATCTCGGGTGTATACTGAAAAAAAAATCTCGGTGTATTTACTAAGAAAAGGGTAAAATTACCAAGAATTCAGGGTTTTCTTGGTAAAATTACCATTCATGGAATTGGTAATTTTACCGAGAAATCTCGGTAAAATTATTGAACTTTCTCGGTAATTTTACTGGACCTTGGTAAAAACGCCAATATTTTTTATCGACTGTGGTAGAATTACCGAGATAAAATGGCAAAGTTACCGGGAATTGATTACCAATAAAAGAGGGTTACCAATTCTTACCTGAAAAAAACAGTAAAAATACCGGTTTTCAGTTAAGCTTACTAGTCTATCTTGGTAAAGTTACCAATAATTGGTAAAAAAAAGTGAGATGGTAAAGGTACCAACGGACCTTGGTAAAAACGCCGAGAATTTTTTTTCAGTGTACCCCACACTAACAATGGTTCAGCATTCCGATACATGTTTCGTAGGGGACCGTTCATAAATTACGTCACCCGTTTTTCTCAATTTTTCGACCCCTCCCTTCCTCACCGTATCCAACCATCACCCACTGCTAATATTCATCACGAGGTTTTGCTGACGATCTGACAACATTAAGCTAAGCGGTAGTCGTAAAACTGGTTCTTAGTCTAGATGACGATGTTACAGTGACGCTGAATTCGAATTGTGGACTGTTTACACACCTGTTGATAGGACGCTTTTATTCTAAAAGGGTCTATGTAGACACTAATTTAATGAAAATGAGCCATGTGCATAGAATTCGAGTGTTATACATAGTTCTTTTTTATTTAATTTATCTGCTTAGAGTTCCGTTTAGCATAATTACGTCCAATAATGCTAAAATATCCGAAAAGTAATTGCAGTCGAGTTTAGCGGAGGAGCACCGAATGTTCGGTGCAATAAATGATCTACTCTAAGTGGACTATATTACCGTAATGAGGAACTACTATTTCAGGAACTATTGTAAATGCGTCGTGCTTAAACAGGACTATCAGTAGTTCGTTATAGCAAAATCCAGTCACGATGGTTGCCGATATTCCCCATAAGACACATACTGTTCATCAATTCGACTGCATTTGCAATGAGTAACTACTATTCCTGGCTTATTGTAGAAACTATTATGTGCCTTTGAAATTTCTAAACAGATGTAAGCTCCTATGAATAAGCCAAAAATAGTAGTTCCTAATTGCAACAGGAGGTCACATTTAAATTTAGATCCTTTCCATGAACTAGATTTAACTCTTCAGCAATAAAGTGTAAGGGAACCATGTGAGGACCTTCTTTGATTTTTGTTTTTCCAATTCATTTCTCATGACTGTAAATAGACTTTATTTTCCAATTAGGAACTAACATTTCTGGTTCACTTTAGAGACAACGTAAATACCGCTAGTTTTCCTGGGTAGATGAGTGCTTTTGTTGGTGAGTCGGAAAAAGAAGGCCCTTATTGCGAAATGTATTCTATATACGAGGGATACAGAATGCCGTATTTCTAACGCAACCCTGCCCTGTTTGGACCGCGTTAAGGAGAAAGGAACCAAGCCACATCAGCTATTGCCAACTTTAGCGGGGCAATTTAATTGTTAAATTGAAAACGGTTGTGTGGATCCTTGTGTAAATTTCAATGAATAGTACATACATAGTACGAAGCAAATTTCTTGAAATTTTCGATGGGATTCGGAGAATTTTTTCTTGTAAAAAATTACATACCTAGTTAAGTTTGGCGATGGCTAAAGTGTCTTGGTTCCTTTCTGCTAAAGGCGGTCCATTCCTGTCTTGAAACTCGTTATGGGTTATCGAATTTATTTTTTGCGGACCCTACATTGGCAACAATGTACAGCAACTCATGAGCAACTTGTTACGGCTAATGTATGCGCGCGGATTCGAATGTCGCGGAAGTTTGGCGCGAGCCGAAAAAATCGCGGGATGGTTGTCTCCTCCGAGATTGAAACTGAAACCGCTTGCTTGTCTCTGCAAAGTTGCTTTTTCCAGAGCCCGAGGTCAATTTTTTCCATTTTCAAGTTTCGTTGCGCGGCTGCGGCTGGGCTGGATTCAGCGAATCAACGAATTGGTGGCATCTTTTGAGATGCACCTGCTCAGTTCAGTTTTAAAATGAAATTGTTTGGAGGGGCAATTGGCCCGAGTTTATCAAAAAGGAACCAACCCAAATTATCAAAAAAATTGAGATTAGAATATTATTAAGTTCCACCAGTCGTCTATTTTTTCCTGCCAAAATCTGAAAGTCGACAAAAAGAAATTAGTCTGTGAAAAGAGGGGCTACAATTTATTTTCTACACTGAGCCTTATGCAAGAATAAAACTTCAAACCTCTTTTTGACAGTTTCAATGTGGATTAGTTCCTCTTTGATGAACTCGGCCAAAATAAAACATTTGAAGAGCCTTCTGTGTAAAGGCTGGGTATTCTATCAATTTGTGACCGTGGAACCTTAGAATTGCATCGATTTGTGCATTGAAATAAATGGGTTCGATGATTTCGACTCAGCCGATCAAAACTGGTGTTCAGCACCAACTTTTTGGTACATGGAGTTGTACACAAACTTTTCAGAGCAGCACAAATTGATCAGAGTCGGATCCAGCAATGTGGCAACACCGTATATACTCTATTTAAACGTGCTCTAAACTATCGATTCTTGTCGGAGCACCTGGCCCCTCCAAAAATCAATACATTTCTATAGGCTTAAAGGAGAAAAGACAATCTTGCCAATTTGCTGGATCCGCCGATGAAATTAATTCGACCATAAGTCAAATGAGTTGGAATGCAAAATAAATTTTGGTTTTTGTCATAAGCAGATGTAGACACTTCGATCGGGGGGCCGGAAGGTGGGCCCAGGGGGCTTTTCCCCAAAAAACTTTCGAAATTTGAAAGCATCTAATATGCAGTCTGATACAATTTTGTCATGAATAATTACCAAATATAAGCGTCGTTTCTCCTTCTTTCTTCCGTTCCTTCCCCCTTACTTTCTTTCCTTTTCCTTCCTGCTCCTTTTGGTTGAACAGGGGAGCGTACGCCCCCTATGAACCCTCCCCCCCTTGATGCACCTCAGGTTTTTATAAGCTAAGTCGGAATCATCTAACCGATTTGTTGTAACTGTTTAGTATACATTTTAATACATTTATTACCAGTTAATTTTATGAATTTTTCATCTATGAATCACTTTATACGCAACATTCAGAAGCGGGAGTGTAAATCATGGTGGTACAAATTGTAGGAGCCCATTATACCGGGCAACTAACGACTGATACCCCCCCCCTCCTCCCAATAATACTTCGTTCCCTGTCTCTAAACACTGCTCGTTTGATCATTGAAAAGAGTCACAGAGACAAAATGGACGAGGGGATGTGAGAACGGGAGAGAGGGAGCGAAATGAGACTGGAAATGAGCGAGAGAACATTAGGCGACAAGTAACTGTTGTATGTTTAAGGGACGATGACTGCACGCTCGTTTCATTGTGGTGCATCGCGGAGCTGGATGGTTGCGAGGAATTTCCACTCGTAGCGGAGCCGGCACGTCTCGATGGGGATATTGGGAGAAGCCGTGTCTTCTCACGCCTTCAATTACGAGCCCCGCAACCCGCGCTGCACGACGCCGAGCCGCGCGCCTTCAATTGCAACGGCTGCAACCCGCCGCGCTGTCCGCCCGAAACAAAGAGTCCTCTGCTTCCGCCTCCGCGCCTGAGCTTTTTCTTCGAGCTCCTTTCCCTTATCTCCGGCGACGTTGTTTCGCTCCGACAGGACAATGACAATCATATCGGGTCGGAGTTAATTCCGCGCAATTCCGCTACTTACCCGCGCCGCGCGCCGCACCGCGCACAGCTCCGCGTAATACCCTTATCCGACAAATGGAATTACGCGCGGAAAGTTAAGACGGATATAGGGGCGGGGCCTCCTCCTCCCGTGGAGACTCCGCTGAAATATAATTTCAGACTTATCGATGGTTGTCGGCGCGCGCCGCTTGCCAAATCGCCCATTCACTCGCCAAACTTCCATCTGCCGTCTTAAAAATGAACCAACAGGAGAAAAATCTAGGGTCCCTTTATACTGAGAGTCAAGACAATTTGAATCCATTTCTGATTGGTTCCCGTATTTTAGGCCTCCACAGTGTCACAAACGGGAATAAAGATTACATTTTCACCAATTACAAAGATTATAATCTGGAATGGACCAGGGAATTACGGGTTCGGCAAGGAACAAACGGAATGAGAGGAGGAACGGAGAAAGGCATTTGAGAATGGATCAAAGATTACGAAAAACGTTCAATTTCTGTAATCTTTATTCCCGTTTGTGACATCCATGAGCCGAATTGTCTTGACTCTCAGTATAAAGGGACTCTAGAAAAATCTATGGATTTATAAACCAAATAGTGGTTCATGTGGAACACTACTAATAGTTCTAAATGAACTAATGATTCTTGGTCTGTGAACCACCACTAAGGTACTTGTGATTTATTTTGTTTCTCCGCGAGATCTGCAAGATTACAAATCGGCAATATTTTTTTCTCTCATTCTCATTTAGTTTCGAAATCTCCTGTTCCATTCTGCTCTGTACGTCAACATCCCCCTTACAATCGACCATATTTTGCTTTCTTGTCCAAAAACCTATGCTTCACGCATCAAAATTCAAAATTACCTTCCTCAAAACATCCATCCTTTAAGCTTAGATGATCCAATAGTAGTCACCGAAATTTTAAAACTCTTTAAGCAATTAAATTTGGAAATTTATGGTAAATACCTGGTTCCCGACGTAAATTGCCTGGTTGCTGATCGTCGTAAACTAACTAACTACTATAATATGATGCCTTCATTACTATTAGTGGTGCTCGATATGAACCGGTGATTGGTTCATAAGTCATAGCTTTTTCTCAGTATTAGGCTTTTAATATGAGGCTAAGGGCGAAAAATAGAACTGATTATTTCCAAATCACGAAAGCGCCAAAATTGCGAATGCGAGAAAAACAAGAAAACTGCACTTTGTTGACAGTCTTCGAATTCTATAAAAATGTATGTTCTTTAAGAAGACTATTTCGAAATCAGACATAATTGATTATACCGAGAGAACAAATAAAAATTAACCCCCCTACCACCAAGAGATTGGCGTTTACGTAATTTAAAAAATAATCGGTTCAATTATGGATTAAAATTTCTAAAGCAGCAGCCCGTGACAATGGTGATATCAAAAACACAGGATAAAAAACGGGAAACAAGGCTAAAGAGTACACATAAAACCCCGAGACGTTTTGGCTCAAAACGGAGCCATTTTCAGTCGGAGGAATTAATAGAAATAAAATATAAAAATTCCAAATAGAAACCTGCAGACCACATGATCGACGAGAAAATCAAAACAAAGAGAAAAGAGAGGGGAAGAAAGTTTTATTTTTATGTGTACTTTTTAGCCTTCTTTCCCGTTTTTTCAAAAATGTTTTTGATATTCAATTATGAGAGGACCTTGCACGGAAAATTAAGGTTTCGTCGCCAATATCGCTTTTATGATATCGAGCGCTGAGTAACAATTCCGCCTAACCCACAATTTTGGCAAAAATGAGTTAGCGATTTTGCTGCATTCCCCGGTATAAAATCCGCCGGCTGATGTTTTTGGCATTCCCAATTCTGTAGAGGAGCGCTGCAATGACACTTTAATGTATGAAACAGTTGCAAATCGAACCTTAAAATTACAAAAAAAGGCAAATTTTTTTCTGTGTCCTGCAAAATTGTCCTGTTCAGATAGGCGGTATTCTTCCCCAGCCACCAGTGTTTCCTTCACAACCTTTTGAGCACAATGAGCTTTGAAAATCGTGCCATCACGGTCGATAACGTCTTACATCGTGTTTTTTAAGGGTTGATAATTTCGTTCAGGTTAAACGTAAAAACTAGGAATTTGGATGGGTTTAATTATTTTTTGCTAATCTGAGAACTGAAACTTTAAAATTGCCATCACGGTCGATAACGTCTTACATCGTGTTTTTTAAGGGTTGATAATTTCGTTCAGGTTAAACGTAAAAACTAGCAATTTGGATGGGTTTAATTATTTTTTGCTAATCTGAGAGCTGAAACTTTAAAATTGAACAGTTTACCAAGCGTAACTGACCCATTCCATTGAATCCAGGGATTCTCTCCTGTCAAAAATTCGAAGTGAAGAAAAAAAAACATATTTCGAACGTGGAAATAGTCCTTATACGAAGTCCTTCAGCTTGTGGATATAAAAAACTGCAAACCTCTTCATCTTAGTTTAAACTTCCTAAGACTTGATGCGTTTCTGTTCAACGCGGTTCCAATAACGAAGGCAATAGTAAACCGCGGCATTATTAGCGCCTGCAATTGGCTATCTAGGCAACACTTCGTGTCAGCTTTCTCACCCGCCGAACGCGAATGGATCGCAAAACTCCCGGAGCAATAAGTCTTCAACTACTTAAGGACTAAGATCATAAATATCCCTTGATCACATGCCGATCAGCAATGGCTACACCTCGAGCATTTTTCTCCACGGGTACTTACCTCATTGATTAATGGTGCACCTAAACAGTTTGTTTTACTTATGCCTCGTTTTTTCGCGTCATTTTCCCCTCTAATTAAATCCCCTCACTGCGTATGGTTGACTGCATGCATGCTAAATAGAAGAATGACATAGAACAACGGTCAAAAATACTCATGAAGGATCCATAGATAAAAGTAGCGTTAGGAGGTGGAGCAGGGAAGAAAAAGGATCCCAATTTCACCATTACCAATTTGATAAATGACCTTAATGGACCACTAGACAAGGTACGATTTAAGCAATCTGATACATTTCTCTTAACCAGAATTTCACGTAGGAAACGATTCACACAAGAAAAATTACTGAAACCAACTCCTAACGAGGATATTAACGTTTTTAATTCAAATTGGTTACGAGGGATTTGAACTGCCCGCTCACAAGAAACTCAAAGCTCTACGTGAGTCAAATCGCCCACTAGAACGGTTTCAGCAAGCTTCTCAATCGAGCAATGTTCATTTCCCACCATGTGTTGTTCAAACTATTAGCAATTTGCTATAACTGAGCCAAAGCGTCAAGATTTGCCAGATTTTTATATCGCAGAGACTGTCATAATAACTTTTAGCGCGCGATGTGAATCACGAAGAGCATTGAGTTTTCATGAGCGGGTGGTTTGAATTCACGCATCAAAAATCATTAAATATCTTCATAGTAAGTTAATTTCGGTAATTTTCGTTGTGTGCATCGTGTTTTACGTAAAATTTTGGTTAAGAAAGATGTATCAGAATGCTGAAATTCGTACCTTATCTAGTGGTCCATTATGTTTTCAGTTATGAATACTGCATCAATGTTTCTAGTTATCAGAGTGGTGTTTAGTGTTATTGAATCACGAATGAATTAATTTTTTTCCAGATGCTATTGACAAGGAGCTAATGAAAAATAAAGCCTGGTTTGATGCGGAGGAGAAGAATAAGTCAGACGAATCCAAACGCATTGGAAACAGCTCCAGCACCGTCGCTGAAATGACAGGCTCATTCCGGAAAATCGCATTTGACTGAGAAAACAACCTAGGCCCTTCCTGTTAATCATAGTTTGAAGTTCCTCAAGATGACGAATTCCGTCATAAGCCAATTTAAATAAGAGTGAAATGACGATCGTAAAATTAAAATCAAGATGATAAGATTAACAAGATATTTTTCTATTTCTAGATGAGATCACCAGGAAATATTGGTGGTTTTATAAATAATTATAAAATCGCCTGGATATGAATAAATTCTAAAAGAATATAAAATAAAAATCCAAAAATGTGGCACCGGATTTTCTTAACCATGCTTGCTTTTAAAGGTTTCATTTTCGGCGGCAGTGTTCAAATGACTATCTAGAAAATTAAACTGAAAATGTCACAAAAATCAATCGGGAAGTAAAAGACTATGGCAGCTTGACTTCCACATAAAACTCATGTCTCATGAAGCTTTATAACCTCTCGCGAGGTAATAACATGATTTTTTTTTAAAATAACTGAGTTACCTTAATTTATTGTAAGATATTTATTATTTGCAAATATTTTCTGAAATAAATAACTGCACATTCGACATGCATTGTTTCTTTGATTACCCAGACTCTATTTGTTGCACATGCAATATCTTGGTCGTTTCTCATCTCTTTAAACTTTCAGACTCATAACTTTCAAATGGGGGTAAACTGGCTGAAACTTTTTTAAATCTCCTAATTCTCATTGTGTTTCATGCACGTTCTCAAAATAGACTCATCATCTTGGCAGACATCACAATTTTACCAAATCAAAAACACGAAAACACCCTCACTCTCGTAAACACATGTCGCTAATTAAACTTCGAAAGCCCGCACACTGAGAGATTACAATACTTGAACACTAATATTTGTATAAACAACGCAATCAATTAGTTCGAGATTATTCAGATATTTTTTTTTTGTGTGTGTGTGTGTGTGTGTTTTTTTGTCCTAAAAATTAGATTTTGACGAGTTTGGTTTTGTAAAAAATCACAGTGTTTTAGATCGCACTTGATTTTGAAATTTGAACAAGTAATGTAAGAAGCTGTCCGTAGCGAGTGCAGTGCTCGCTGTAGGATTACACAAAGAGAAGGATAAATTGTAGTGACGGAAAGATGATAATAATTCACTCTCAAGTGCAAAAATATCAATTGGCTTGGAATCGTCAGTCTCGAGAGTGTGGGAGTTCGGGTCTCCATTTATCGGTAAAAGAGAAGAAGCGTATCTGTTCGATTAATTATTGAAACCATTTGTGCTGTACCGTCTCGCAGCAGGGATATTTTTGGTTCGTATTTTTTCAATTTAAATATAATTTTAAGCTGAAATTTTTTGAGTGTGAAGAATAATGTATTTACGGAGGTGGATATATTCTTCGAGACTGGCCAACAGCACAAAACAAGTTAAAGTATACGATCACATAATTTCATTGTTTTAAAAGTAATTAGACTTTTTTTAGTGGTATCTGAATGATGACATTATGAATTCTTCTAAAAGCACTTTAGTTATCAGCTTTATGCAGAGCTGAAGCAGTTGGTCTCAAGTGATAATATTGTGAATGAAATAATTCATCAATATCATTTTTTTAAAGTTTGCGTGCAGACGCCATTAAGTAAGTGATGAATTAAAATCTGAACTTTGAGTTAACGTCATCATCTGTAAAGGATAACAATATGGCTGAAATAATGGCAACGGTCAATCTCTCATCACTTTCCTGTAGCAAGATTTTTTTTTTATAAACGGAAAATGTATTTTATACACGGTGTTCAAAGATGACTATTAAAGTCGATGGAGTTTTGAAGTGAAAGACTGGCCAAACTAGCATATGTGCGAAAAACGTATTGATATATTTTTTTTAAATTGACGTAAAAAGAAATTTAGCCGTCAGTTTTTTTGAGGCACGTATCCATCGAAAAATCATTTAATGAGCTCACCTTTCATTTGTTTTAATGTAACACAGTCCATATTTATTAATTTAGTTGGAAAGAGTATGATAGTTAACCAAATCGTTGACCGGTTAATAGAACAGTTGCCAATTGACATATGATCTGTTAAAGTGAGAATCATGATGGACAAACACGCTGATGAAATGGAGACTCAATCCCAAACAGAGCACGATAGACAGAGGCCGACAAAGAACAAATGTCTGAAAAGGCTGAGGAAAAATGCATTCTTAATCTGCACTTTCATCGGAATTATTATTGGTGCTGGTTCCGGTTAGTGTTATTGAAATATGAGTCTTGCGAAAAAAAAGAAAAAAATATGGTGAGAAAAGGCCATGAAGTTTACGCAAAATTTCATCAGATTTATATCTTCCAGAATAAGCATGCCTGAAAAGAGTATCACCGAGTTTTCTGTTACTGTATAGCTGATGGCACGATCAAACAGTGCTATCAATATATCAAGATCAGGCGTTGGATTGGCTGATTCGATGACTTGGACCCATCACAGCATTTGACCTTGATATATTGATAGGACGGGTTGATCGTGTGATTTACGCTTATGAGTTTTTTTTTTTTTATGTTTCACCTCCCAAGAAACTAATAATTGACAACACGAAACATTAGTCAAAGAATTTTCAACAGAGAATGGATATAATTAAGGGATATTTTGAAAAATATATGTGTTTCCCAAGAAAAGAGTTACTATGCATGTGTTTTAAAAGAGTTTACGCGTGAGTTGAGAATGCGTAACGCATCCAAGTGAAATTCTTTCTATAGAAAAATAATACTTGAGAGCCGCGCACCTTCGTTTGCGATAGTGAAAACGTGCGAGCCTGCTTTTGAACAGAAGGACCTTGTACTCCATGGAATTTCTTCCTATTTACCTTTGCCCACCTAAAAATACTCTAGTAAAATATCCTTTAATCTTTATACAACTTTTCCCCCCTTTCTTTAACCTGCATGTAAATAAAATACAACCAAGGAGGTACGGGATTTTTTTTAGTTTCGACGTAAATGTACATTTGTGGCCTTTCTTGCATAAAAACCTTTAGACAATCACATCAATGTCGTCTGGAGTGGTTATTGTTCATTCTTGTTTACATGGTTTTCTTGATATGAATTCAACGACTGCCATGAGCCACCTCACTTGAAGTTTGAAGATTACAACATATGCTCTCTGCACTCCAGGCCCCAGTAGATAGGATTAACAATCGATTCATATTACTCTCGTCCACACGAGATAGACTATAGAGGATTTCGCCGAAAATGAAGAACCTCGTGAAGTTTCTATGAAAGCTTGAGTAAGGTCATTGAAAACCGAAATGAAAAATTGAACAAGAGATAAATCGGACTTCATTCTGCAATTGAGAGCAATAATCACTGACTCATTTGTAAAAACACTCATATGCATAGGGAAACTAAAGGTACATACGTTGTTTCTAAACTGAACTAAAAGTTGAAGTTCCTAATTGCAAAATGCAGTCTACTTGAAGCAATGTGTTTCATGTTTTTTCTTCAAAAAACCACAAGAACGGAATGTTGGAAAGCAATGCCCATACAGATAATTCTTTACTAATCTATGTTACATGATGGCAAAAGTATAAATTTACCGATTTGTATGATCTCCGTTCCATTTGATCGACGCAAAGTATTAAAAATCTCGCTTAGGGGATGACATCGCTTAGGAGGTCTAAAGGCCCACTGTCGACAAAGACGTATGATATATGTACTTGATACTTGAGATGTTATTCTTCAAAGTGTTGGTTCTACAATGTCTAGACTCTTACGAAACAAATCTGTCGTAGGCTTTTCTTTACGACCCCAGAAATTGACAGCTGATACGGTGTCACTGATATCCTACCCCGGTGAGCTGTTCATGAGGACGCTTAAACTCTTGGTTTTGCCGTTCGTTGTGTCTTGTATAATCAGCGGTAAGTATAGCAAATCCTTAGAAATATGTTTACCCTACACTGGAAAAAAAAAGTCTGCTACGGTCAAGCCGTCTCGGAATCTTGAGAAAAAATCAGCTTGATTCAAGAATTTGTATCTTAAAACAAGCAATTTATTGCTAAATTCAAGATTCGAGATTCTCAATTGCAGCTACCTTATAGCTTGGATCACCTGCTTGCTTGATTTAAGCAGCACAAAAATCTTGAGTCAAACTTGCTGAGTCTTACATCAAGCTACCATGGCTGCTAATTCTAAGAAGTTGTTTCTTGATTCAAGATAATGTATACTCGATTCAAGATTCCTGGTTTCAAGCATGACACGAATCTTGGAAGTTGCTGAAAAAATTGGACTTAAATTAAGTTTGCAGCCAACTTCTTGAATTAAGTTTCCATTGTATTGTAACCACTCCGCCTTCATTTTCGACACGGGTATTAAGTTATACATTCATACATTCTCAAGTCATTCCAGGAGATCTCCAAAAGCCGCGCATTTTAACATAGTGCTGCAAACCGAGAACAAAACCCGCGGCAACGCACGACGACTTCAGCATGATCCATGTCGAAGAATCAGTAACGTTCTATTCTTACGTTACGGAATTTTATGAAAAATGAATAAAACTTTCAGTTTTTAGTATTGGATCCGAGCATTAAACGAAAAATAATTAAGATTCCGCCGGGTAGCTCATTTCAAGCAGCACGGCCATGCTTATTTCAAGCTATACGTTTC